GCGGGAGACCTAGGTACACCTGAATATGCACGCTTGAAAAAGAATTTCAGTCAAAAGAAAAGACTAGGTTAATATCATCTGGGTAGCCAGTCATATAGGAATAGAAAGAAATGAAAAGGCAGACGAGCTGTACCTCTCCCTAAGTTGACCCAGACACCTCAGGTCTTGGAACACTTATAACACAGGGCATACCACAAAGTTACTTTGGGATAGTGAACAGCAAAAGGGAACTTAGCAATATTGTAGGGGTCATCACAAGGCACCCATACTTATAATCAGAAATCCCTTCAGAAAATGGGAAAAGTAGATCGGCGGAATGTAGAGCATGCGCGGAGGATGATAAGACGCTGGAACATTATGTATGTGAATGCCCAACCCTCAGCCGGATGAGGCGGGATATCTTTCACGGCTGCCAATGCTGGAACTTAAGACACAAAATCAGGTTTTTGTCCCGAAACCACTGAGTTGCTGGATAAGGGTTAATTTGGTTATCACCCGGGAGCTGTGTTGAATTACTCTCCCCAAAAAACAAAAAAAAAGTGTAGTGTCACACCTGGCGACTAACTTAAGGTCTAACATTTTGCTATATCTTGCTGGAGCGAAAACTGTTCTGTTTATATATGGTAATGGTACTACCGCACCGTATTCCCTTTAACTTTATTTGTCTTTCAACCTAAACTTTGAGTAGCACGTGTTTAATGATTTAGTATGAGTCTTTAATCCGTGTATATTTAGGATACAAGCACGATTTCGGGAAAGACGTTTTCGGACAGACGCTCTTATATAATTAAAGTGTTCGGTATGCTCTTAGGGTCTTGTCCGAATAATTTTGTGGTACTGCTTAAAGACGGTGGTACTGAAATGAGCCCATGCCAATTACTTAAAGCATCTGTACTTGTATATGTACGTTTACTATAAAATTAGAATTTCTCTCCACTCAACTGTCAACTCCTGAGCAATACAATTTTACCCTTAACAAAATTCCTGCTCTATCTTTTTATGTTTCGATGTATGCCGACTGTCTGTACTGATGGTTAAGTTAAGTAACTCGCCGAAAAACAATTCTGCTGTTATTACTGTCACTGGCAGTTAAGCCAAATTTCGCCGATAATTGCAAATCTTTTACTTTTAATTGAAATAACTTAAGTACCAAAGCAAACTCACTGGTGGCTGCGTCTCCCTACAACACCGGCAACATTGTAATTATACGAAACTCATTACACTAAGAAGATTTCGACGTAAACTTTTGTGCCACAGCTGTATGGTTCGTTTAAAGTTAAGTAATTTTCAACGTAATATTTGCAAAATAAACTTTTAATGCATGGCACTTTACTTATAGTATAATGCCAGTATCGGCTGAGCACTTAACAGAAAAACCATTATAGTGAATAAAAAAACAGATTCGTATACAGGACGTCTTACGTACGACCAGAAGCTGCTCACTCTAACTGTTAGTTAAGCTCTTCCCTTTTTTTTTTTTTGAGAAATTTACATTTGAAAGCAACAACAAAGTTATCTTGCGGAAACCGCACTAAAGTGGGTCTACCTACTTGTTATTCTACTTCTGTTTGATTTTGTCAGTGTATGTGATTTATACTAGTTGTTGTTCGATTTACCATTTTGCCGCTCGCTATGGTTAAACTCTGCTCTTTTCAATTCGCTACAGGAATTCATAGTCTGTATATAGTCTTGCTATTCTATCTTTATTCAATTATATCAGTCTACGCGATTTATACCAGTTGCTGTTCGATTCACTACTTCCCAAAATTTGGCGAATTGAAGTTAGCTTTGAGTTACGCAGATTCTCTGAAAAAAATTACTACATTAAATATGTATTATTATAAATTATTATTTAGTTAGTGTCTACAGATTATTATAGAGAAACTTGTATAGAGCTCTATTTCTACAAAAGCACACAGGGGTTATATCCACTTCTAAATTAAACAAAAATTCGATTTTTTCGTTTTTGTATATCCGGAATGTTTATGTATTAGAGAATATTCTCCGAAAGTTTTAAGTAAGTCCGGCGGGAGTTATCAGCGTGTTTATAAAAATTTTTTAGACTTTTATTCACTTAGTGTAATCGGTTTATATAACTTTAAACGCGTTTTTCTCGATACGCTGTTTTCGCAGACGATTGGGAAAATTTCTCTGAATAAGCTGGTGAGATTGACGATAAAACTTTTGATAATAATTTCATTCTCTTAAGCCACTCTGAAATGTACATTTTTTGATAATAAGCAGATTTTTGTTTAGATAGCCGCTATTTTGTCAAATATCAAAATTTTGACTAGTCCTTCGACCATTACTTGTATATATCTATAATAACAATACATATTTTTGGTTTTTGGATTTGGGGTGATTTCAAGCAGAAAAATGTTACTCACCATCAAACAACGTTTTTAGGAGGTCCTCCTGAAGATCGGCTACAGGATCACGGGAATCCAAAATTTATCACAATAAATCAACGATTATTAAAGTACCGTGCATTAAATTTTGTATATGTACAGTATTTTTATACCATAGCAACATGTCAACCACACTTACTTTCTATATAATAAACTTTTAAATTCCATCTGATTCTTTTACTTTACAGTATACAAATCAAACATCCATCAAGTTATCAGAACAAAACTTTGCACAAATAGTGCCCTCAAAGTATTTCATCTTATGCCCAAAAATTGTCGAAATCGAACCACATATTATATTTTCAAAGGCCCTGATATCAAATTTGTGGACCCCAGAGCCCATTGCTGACTTTTTATCGCAAATATCGGTCAATATGTGAGTTCTAGTAGTGATAGTCTAGCTTTCTCCTGTGCAAAAAAATGGGTAAAATCAGGTCAGTACTACCCCTAGCTGCTTCTAAATACAGTGAATCCTATTACCTAAGATGATAATGGATAAAGTCAGTGCAATACTTCACCTAGGTTAATATAAAGTTTTACAACAACTGACAGTATTTCTCCGCTTTTAATCTTCTCAGATTACAAGAGTTAAAAATGCTCTATTACACCCGAGCTTAGCTCTTCCTTACTTGTTATTTTTTTATTAAACAAAATTATCCTAAAAAAACATTAACAAAACAGAAAACCTAATTTGAGTTACCCCGATTTCTATCCACCGTAATATGTCTCCTGAATGTGTTAAAATAATTCGTATCTTCTGGTATACATATATTCATATGTATATAAATATATAGTTATTGCAAACTTGTTGAACTTTCGAAACTTTTGGGTAGCAAAACTTCATCAAGCAACTATTCAATCAATAGTTTGGTGACAAATAAATAGTTTACTATGAAAGTGAGCACTTTATTAGCAGTCAATTGAGTCAGAAAATTTTCATTGGCTGACAGACAGGAGGTGCCAAAGGCAAGACAACTGACAAGGCAGAAGGATTGACACTTTGAGACTTGTTGTATAACTTTTGTTAAATAATTCATGAGTTGTGTTTGCATATATATACATTTACATATATGTATATGTTTGTAATTATACATAGGTATACACACACACATACTCTATGAAGCGAGATTTGGCAAAAGTTGTATCATAACAGTCACAACGTTGTTACTGGTTTGGTAAAAGTTTGCTCTTTGTTTGTTTCTTCCGCAAAAGTAGCAGCCAAATAACGGTGAAATTGTTAGCAACATATATAAGAAAATGTACATTATAAACATACACTGGATTCACCGCAATGTTGCAATATGACAGCTGTCAAAAAAATTAGTTGTATTTCATTTCATATGGGCAATAATCACGGAAAGAGAGTTGACAAAAATAACTTATCTAGAAAGTACAATGGAAAGAGTGAGTATATGCAATGACTCCGCCCATTCATATTGTGCCATAAACTCGAGTTTAAGCTCGATTTTATAGTCGATTGTTGAACAATACTACAAAAACTCATCTGAGAAAGTTTACCTTACTTAGATTTGATGAGAAAGTGTGATTTAGCTCAATTTAAACACCACTTTTAAGTATATATGGTCTTACAACTCTATTTTGAGACAATTCACATAGACTTTATCCATCATTGATACACTCTGATATCGACAACAGATGTCCCGATACCATTTGCGTCGCTTTCTCTGACAGAGTTTTAGTTTAATTGTCAGACTTTTATCTACACTCTATATCTTACACTCAATTAAAAATTAACATAGACTTAAAAGATTTTCGATATATATATGTATTAACAAATCTTAAAAAAGGAAATTACAGAGGGAGTTTCTGCTGGTATGATCCACACAACCATCATAGATTTGAAGTTAACCTTAACGTAGCTTATCTTTTAAATAATAGTTCAAAGCCATTATTAATTTGTTTAATCTTCTCTTATTATTAGTGAGTCTAAAATATACATATGCTATTCAGAAGCTCCAGATTCTGTTGTTGAAAAAAACAGCTACTTTAAATGGTGCGTGACTCCTCGGCACTCATACAGCTAAAGTAACTTTCATCTGTACGTAAAAGAGAATTAAAGTAGCGAAAATAATATAATAATATAGTAGCGAAAATAAAACAATAATAAGCGAGTATTATCAAACGCTCAGAAGCTTTGGTATTTTTTTTTCAAAAAAAAATTACTAGCAATTTTGAAGCAGACTGATGCTTAAAACGAAAATCATAGCCAAGACACACATCATATACTTTTTCAAACGTAAAAACACAGCAAAGGAAAAGCCAATTACGTGGTGTAGCTGTCTGTGTTGTATTATTAGCACCGTTACTATATCTTACCGATTAATGCCATCAATGAAGTCAACTTAAACCAGTATATTAACAACTGAAATTTAATCTCAAATTTGAATATTAATTGACTTGTAAAAATACATCCAAAGTACACACCAAATATTAGATGACAAGCTAGACTAAACATTAAACGATGCTGCAAGCGATTTCTTACCACGATTATATTTCTCAGCAGACACCAAATGGATGGTAAATATAGTAAATATATTTTATATAAAATGATTTGAAATAAAACTATTTTACCTGCCACTTTTATGGGGAAAAGTCACAAGGATCCGTAGCTATTTGTTGTCCTCTCTATGACTTTACGTCGATTAATTTTTAAAGATTTGCTGCTTAAAGTCACTACAGCTGCTTTGAGACGCTAAAGATTTCGCACTCGATGTGTTTACTCCAATTTTTTTTGTTTGTCCAACCGAAACATTTTCACATGCACATAAATATTTGCACTTTACGACAGCGCGATGGCAACATTTACGCCATTTTATTATGATCTTATGTATTTGCAAATGCCAATTTTACATAGCCAAAGACAAGCAAAAAAATTAACCTGCCTGGATTTGCCGTCCCACGACTACTTTAGAACCAAGGATATTTATGCTTGCACGCGCACGTCTAAGACACCCGCGCTGTTCCTGTTTAGCAAGGGGAGGTGCACGCACACGCACATAGACGCGCAAAAGCTGCCAGTGCTGTAACAATAATGTGCTGGTGGTTTTTTTCTGTTTTTTTTTTCTTTTAGCTTAGCGAAATGCAAAGTAGTAGAAATAGTAAAGCAGATTTTAACACTTGAGCACGTAGCGGCACTTAAAACTGGCACATTTGCTGCGCAGAAAGTGGGAGCCACATAAAAACCACAACAAAACAGCTGCACAAAAATTCAAAGTTGACAGCATAACAATAAGCAGAAAATTGAATAAAACCGCATGCCAGCAACAACAATGCAGCAAACACTTTCGGAGTCGTAGGGCAGCTGGTGCCACCGAAATTATGGAATTAAAGTATGCACGCAGCCACTTGCAATTTTTCTAATTTTTATTTTGTCACAATGGCCGCTAAACGCACGCACACTCGCATATAACAGGCGAGCAATGCTTGCACTTTAATATTTTTTTTTTATGATTTAATAAATTCTAGTATTTGCATTTATTTTAACAGCCAAGTGAATTCCATTTAATATTATTTATTTTTTTGCTTAGCACACTGTTTATAACACACTCATATAATGTGTAATTAGCAGAGAAAACACTTTTGTTTAACACACAATTGCATTTTTATTCGCAATTCCGTTAACAACAACCGTAACCGTCAATGTGTCGAAGGCAACTGAATTCAAGTCGGCGCACAGCGCAAGTTCTAACATGTTTGGCTAAAGCAATTGTGCTTTGCGCCAACAGTAGCAGCGCCAGCAGCAGCCACTGTTGATTGTGGGTGGCGTAACAGCACTTGAATGAAGCAACAGTAGTGAACTGTGCAAAGAAAACTGTGAACGAACAGAACATAACAGCAAAAGCTGCATTTTCACAGCGGAAAAATTAAAGGCAGGTGTTAACAGCAGGCAATTTACAGTAGCACTACTTAATAGAGGCACTTGATGTTACATAGAGAAATGGTAATTTGCTTTTAACAGCACATAATTTTGCCTCGATTTCTGCTAATTGAAGACAAATTCATAAAAGTTCGAATATTTTTGGTTGAATTAACAGAAACTATGTAGCTTCAAATGGTAAGGGATTTTAAAAAATGAAGAGGTACTACTTCACCGAAATGTTTACAAAATTAAACAACCACATATTTATATAGGCTTGTTGGAAAGAGATAGATACTGTATGAGATAAGGAAATATCTGCAATTATGAAACTACGTTTTTCTTGCTGTAGTTGCTGGAAACTATATTTCCAAATATTTTTGGAGAATACTGCCAGCGTACTGGCAATCTTTGTATAGATAAAATTTCGGCTACATAACATTATGCAGTCCCTATAGTCGTGAAATCTGAAAGTAAAAGGAAAAAAATTAGCAAAAAGCCAAAGAACCAAGCACAGTAGAAAACATATCAAAACATATCATTTGAACGTGGATCTCTTATTAGAAAATAAAAGAAAAGTAGATGCTAGTTGCAAATATTGCTTACTGAGAATGAATACATTGTCACCGAACTCCCTGCCATTAAATAGTGATCAAAACTCTAACAATTAGCAGAAATATTAATATTTACTGGGTCAAGATGGAGTGATTCTCAATATTTCGTTCCATGCTGTAATTCAACGATAAGCCCCCTAATTATAATTTGGATTCTATTAGTCAGACTCACAACTAACTTGACCTCTAGTAAGCCTTAGTTTCAGCGACACAATGAACTTTAGCGAGGTCACTATCCATTCTTGACGCCAACCTCGCTAAGGGTTATTGACCTCGCTAAAAATAATCGACCTCGGGAGAGGTCCAGCTAAGTCGCAAGATGTATCAAACAACAATAAAGATAACACTAAAGTTGGCTCTAACGGCTCAATGGCTCTAACAAAATAGACCAAATCGTGCTACACTCTTTCAAGACCACATATACCGAATATGATGGCCGACTTTATATCAAAAATCTCGATCGATTTTGTAAGATATCTTAATGAAATTAAATGAATCCACTAAGGATGAACTAAATTCGAAAACAACCGAACATTGTATACTCTCGCAATTTGGTTCAAAGGTCTGGTGTGGACAGAATTGTAAAGTAAGGACGAGCTAAGTTCATACATATAAAACAAGAAGAAATATTAACTTCAAATCCACTGAAGCCATAATGCCCTTCACAAGTGCATTTTTTATGGTACAAAAAAGTTTAAAAATAACTTTATTCTGATTTTGATCGGTTAGTTTGGATAGCTAGGGTATAGTAGTCTGATCTGAACGATATGTTTACAAATTATGGCAATGCCTTGTATATTAATATCTGCCAAATTTCTTGAAGACACCTTCCTTCAAATGAAAAAGTTTTCTACATAATCACTTGATACCGGTCGTTCTGTTTGTGCCGACAAATGAGCAGCTTCTTGGTGAGCAAATGTGGTGTGGAAACTTTCTGGTCTTAAGTACATATATGCTGTACATAGTCTCTGGCGTTTGTTTTTGGGTGTAACAAATATCGTGGCAAACTTAATATACCCTACTCAGGATATACAAATTTAATATTTTCATTTTTGAGAGCAATTTGTCATATGAGCCATTTACAATAGCAAATTTGGTGTAAAAAGTGTAAAACAAAACTTGGTGACACTTAGATGAGGTATCAGAATGTAAATTTTTTGACAAGAGAGCAACGCAAGAGCACAGCAAGAAAAAAATAGCGAATCGAACACAGAAAAAGAGATCTTTGATGAGATGAAGAAAATATATAAAAGAAGAGATTTTTTCTAATGATAAATGATGGTTGTAATAAGTTATGAGTAATATTTAAAACATACAAATCCAGTTTCGGGAATAAATTTTCTATTCCATTCATTTTCTCACAGAAGATTTTGTGAGGTACAATATATTCACTTATAAAGAAGTAGATATCTCGAAAGGCACTCTTACAATAAAACTGTAACTTTCGTGCGGCATACCTGTAAAAAAAGAGATTGTAACATGCCCTACCAGATCCCTTATCGAGTTAGTAAAATGATTTCGGAAATTTAACGCTAGTTATAATTGCACTCCGTTTAACATACAATTTTGCAATTATCTAATTGTCCAATTAGTATGTTAATGAAAATAAATTTAATAACAATGAGCAAGAACTCTTTACTTTTACATAGTTTTCAAGCTTGTCTTATATTTTTGAAATCCACACTATTCATACAGAGTCTGTGTCCCTAATTGTGTCAGTAAATTAAAGTAAAATAATCGAGACTGGAGTTATCTGTACCAATTGACTTCTTTATCAAATATTAAATAATTGGATCAAAATTTCCACAAGACTCTAATTTTATCCTGAATGTCTCAAATACTGTTAATACCAATATAAATTTCATAAATTTTTTTCTTTTGGATTATATAAGCCATTTTACAGCGTAAACATTTTATTACCACGAATTGAATATATTGAAATATTTTTAAATAATAAAAAAATATATAATAATAATAAAAAATATTTTTAATGTTTTAATATAGTATTTCATTTCTGCAACCACCAGCATTCTTTATCAAATGAATCCATTCTTTTATTTTTAACAGCACACTGTAAACCGCCAACATACACGCGCTGCATTAAAATTTTACAATCAAGAATATTGCTGCTTCTCAGCAAATTTCTCTGCTGTTCGTACTGTTAACTAACAGTTACCAATCTGCTTTTTCACGTAAGAAATGGTGCATTTACAACAATAAACAACAAACAAAAACCAACAGGTTAATTCACAAACAACAGAATTTTCTGCCGGCGAAAAACACTGTTAAGTTTCGCTGTTAAATGAAAACAAAGGCGAGTGAAGTGTAAGCGGATATGAGTGGAGCGTCGCCACTAACAACAACAGCTGTTATCAATTATTAACAGCCATTTGAGGCGTGGTAAGACCGTTAGGCGATTTATATGAACCGTAGTGATAAGGGTTTATGCTAGTAAACATTTGATGGTTATGTTAATGGCTGCGACGCTTGTTTATTGAGTTGCGAAAAACATCGCAGAGAGAGAAGAGAGTAAAGAAAAATATATAATTGGTAGGTTAAGAGTTGAACGTGATTGAGTGCAAATTTCAGAACCGAAGTGATACAGCATATATTTTGCTGTATTTGTAAAATATCTATTATAACAGAAAAAACATTTGGAAGTGTTTGGTTGGTAACCAACTAAGGGTAGTCTAATTTTAGTAGATAACCGAAACCAAAATTTCGATATTTAACTAAAGCGCATAAACTGAATTTACATATATCATTAAAAGGTGCAACAGATTGATCAGGTGACTAGTATTTGCTTTTTGTGGGCGTGGCAATTGCTCCAATACGCCCATCTGCAATACCAACCTTCTTACAATGCCAAGAAATAAGTTTACCTAGTTTTATAAAGGTATCTTAATATTTACTCAAGTTACAGCTTGTGCAGATGGACGGACGGAAAGACAGACATCCGGATTTCAACTCGTTACGTCATTGTGATCATCTATGTATATATACAAGTACATAACCATATATGTATCAATCTCGATTAGTTTTAGGTGATACAAACAACCGTTATATTAACAAAACTTATACTCTCTGTAGCAACATGTTGCAATAGTATAAAAATGGCTCAAATTTAAGCCTTTTTGCTGCAAATAATTTCTGTTACCAAACAATTTTTTCTTTTAGAACCGCAAAAGTAGTAGTTCTGATTTAAAACTTGTATTTGGACAGTTTTAACATTTATTAATTTTTTGCTTAGTTTTGTTAGTTTTGCGCGCAAATTTAAATTAGATTCGATATATTGTATTAAATACATTCAAAACTATACCAAACGATGTTATGGGCTGTAAAACTCATTTTCCTAATTATACTACAAGTTGCGACAGTGCGAATACGTAACAAAATCAGTCCTTTAAAATTACACATAATTATATCGGAATTTATGTACAGCTTAACTAATCAGCATTCAAACCAACTTCATACCAATATGATTTAACAAGATAACTCTTTCATAATCTTGAAAGTAAGCTGCAAATGAGAACCTGTTAAGCAGCCAAAATATAGAAAAAATTCAGACAAAAATGACAGAGAAGAAATGATCTCGAATAATTAGTAGAAAGATTTAGTACTTGTGAATAGTAATAGTTTAAACATCGGTGTAAATTATGGAAAAGAATGAGAGAGAACCCAATCACACACATCCGTTGTAGATATAGTTCAAAGTGTGATTTTTTCTTCAATGAGGTTTAACCAGTAAACTTTCCAAACTTTTCATGAAATTTGCAGAAATAATTATGATTGAAAATTCAGTTATACAGCAAAAAATAGCGCCAGTAAACCAAGCGCTTCAGCCGTATGAAAATCACTTTTTAGAAGGTCAAACTCAATACACACACTACAAAAGAGAGGGCAATCAAAACTTAAGGTCTTATTAAAATATTAAAATTTTATGATAAATAAATTATTATATAAAAGATGAAGGAATGTATTTATAGGTATAGAGTTTGAATGTCATTATTTTGACGCATGTTGCTGTTACTTCTCATAAAAGGTGGGCGTAACTAAAACAATAAAAATATTTGTTTCAAAACTCATTTCAAATTCAACTAAGCTTACTAAAATCAAATTATTTTTTTATAGATATAATATTTTTCAATACAATAGTTAGTAATAGATTCCTCCAATATAATACCTGACCTGAGATGAGTTTGTATGACCACA